CCGTCCAGCCCCGTCCAGCCCGCCCCAGAGACCGTCCAGCCCGCCCCAGAGACCGTCCAGCCCGCCCCAGAGACCGTCCAGCCAGCGCCAGAGACCGTCCAGCCAGCGCCAGAGACCGTCCAGCCTGCGCCAGAGACCGTCCAGCCTGCGCCAGAGACCGTCCAGCCAGCGCCAGAGACCGTCCAGCCAGCGCCAGAGACCGTCCAGCCAGCGCCAGAGACCGTCCAGCCAGCGCAAGAGACCGTCCAGCCTGCGCCAGAGACCGTCCAGCCTGCGCCAGAGACCGTCCAGCCAGCGCCAGAGACCGTCCAGCCAGAGCCCGAGACCAGGATCCCACCCAGCCTCCCTCTCCCACCTCCTCCCTTCACGCAGCCGTCAGCCCTTCCGTCTGCCAGCTCCCCTGACCCAGCTGGGTCGTTGGATCCCCGGCCTTCGCCTCACACCTCCTCCATCTGGACACTTCCTCGGCCCCCGGTCCCATTGGCTCCCCCGTGGCTCCTACCTCCCTCAGCTCCTCCATGGCCCCTCAGTCCACCAGCTCGGCCAGGCTCCCTCGACCCTCCGGACTCCCTTCGCTCCCTCGTCATCCTCCCTTCACCTTGGGACTTCCTTCCTCTGGCTCCGCCCCGTCATGTCACCCCCCCAGTTCTGTCGGACTCCTCACTCCCTCCAGTCACCCGTCAGCCCTCACTCCCTCTGACCTCACCGTGTCCCTCTGTGCCCCTGTCGTCACTTCCGTCACCTGAGCCTGCGGTGTCACCATGGTCCCTCGGTCCCTCCTCAGCACCATATGTCATCTGTCCCTCTGCTTCACCCTGGTCTCCTCTCCCATCTGCTCCGCCCCTGTCAGTCGGCCCCCTGGTGTTGTCAGCCCCGATTCCATCGGCTCCACCAGGGGTCCTCCCTCCATCGGCTCCGCCCTGGTCTCGCCCTCAGCCTGCTCCGCCCTGGTCTCGCCCTCAGCCTGCTCCGCCCTGGTCTCGCCCTCAGCCTGCTTCACCCTGGCCACGCCCTCAGCCTGCTCCGCCCTGGCCACGCCCTCAGCCTGCTCCGCCCTGGCCACGCCCTCAGCCTGCCCCGCCCTGGCCACGCCCCGCCCAGCCCCCAGTTCGTCCCCCCTCCTTCCTCTGTTATGCGGCGTGAGGTCACGCCTCCCGGGAGGGGGGAGTTCTGTCACAGTCTTCGTCTGCACCGTCCTGTCTTGTCATCAGCACTACACTTCCCAGGATCCTCTTGTCTCCACTTCTGAACTCACTCCCTCATCAGCCACCTGTTCCTCGTCATGTTCATCAGTATCACCTGTCTTCACATCATTATTGTTTGATTCCTCTGTGTATTTAGTTCTCCCTCCTTCAGTCTGTGTTTGTCGGTCAATGTTTGATGTTACCCTGTGTACCCCGTCTTCCTGCCTGTATTGGAATTAAAATAATTAATCTTCGTTTGAATTTTGGACTCTGCCTGTCCCTCTGCCTGCAACACACCGTGACAGTGTGCAGTGTGGCAGGATGCATTATTCTGCTGTAAGATGCAACTTCCACCAGGGAATACCATTGCCATGAAAGTATACCTGGGCTGAAACAATGTTTTGGTGGCACTTGTCAAGTTTATGTCCCTCATGAATGGCCAGACTCAGGGTTTGCCAGCAGAACATTGCCCAGAACATCAAACTCCCTCTACCTGGCTTGATGTTGTCCTACTGGTGCCATCACTTACCCAGGTAAATGGTGGTGCACATGTACATGGCCGTTCACATGATGTAAGAGAAAACGGGACTCATCCAACCAGACGACCCTCTTCCACTGCTCTGTTGTTCAGTTCTGATGCTTGCGTGTCCATTGTAGGCGCTTTTGATGTTGGACAGGGACACACTTCAAACACAGAAATGCACTTGTTGTGACACATAGCCATCGTTAAAATTTTGTGTGACTTGTGCCACAGTAGACCTTCTGTTGGCTTGGACCAAAATGGATAGCCATCGTTGTCATCTTATATCGATGAGCCTTGGGTACCCAACACCCTGTCGCCAGTTTGTGGTTCTCGGACCACTGTTGGTAAATTCTCACTACTGCTGCTGAATAGTTTTAATCAAACTTTAAATATTTAAAGGAATATTTCGATCATAAATTTAAATCATTGGCTTCTGCTGTAGCTTTCACATGCAAAATCTCAGTCAACATTTGGAATTTGATGTGTTTTTTTTTTGTTTTTTTTTTAAGAGTTAATGCGTGTCAGAGATCTGCTGATGTAGTACATCCGGACGTGTCTGATTCACAAATGGATGAGTTCTCTCATCGCTCTTTCACAGAGGTGGGTACAAGTCAGGGGATCAAAGCAGAAGAGATGCTGATGGGGGATGAGAAGAGGAGTAGGAGGAGAGGAGAAAGGGGGAAGTGGGAGGTGTGCGTGTGTAAGGAGGGATGTCCTTGCAAGATTGACGTGATCTAATCCATTTTGTGACAGACTCCTTGCGATATATAAGCAAGACATCTTCACATTCCTGAATTACTTGGACTCTGACCTCAAACACAGGTGTTACTGAAGAGCAAACGTCCAAAGACACATGTAAGTTCAACAACTCTTTCTGATTTTATCAATAGAGGTAGCCTATATATTAAGTTAAAATGTGTATGGTGATTTCTAAAGTTAATTTCTCAACAGAAATTTATCTGAGAAAGTTCATTCGTTAAAGTAAATATATTTGAAGAGTTCAGATGCAAAAGCCTCTAAGTGCCATTTTTCTTCTAGAATGATAATTTTTATCAAGCTAGTATATTTAAGTTAATTAATTTCTCTTAAATGGGGATGAAGATTGTCATTTAAGTGAAATTACTGAACTTAAATATACAAGCTTGATAAAAATTATCATTCTAGAAGAAAATTTCAAATGGCACTTAGAGGCTTTTGCATCTGAACTCTTCATTTATATATAGGTGAAAATAATTTGTTTTATTAATTTTGTGAGGAATTTGATTATGACCCTTATCTGACCCTTAAAATTACGTTTCAATGCTGTGATAGTTGATCAGTCACAAAATATTTTCTCACTTGAATGAATCGTAGTATACATACTGTGCTGATAATTGAATAACATCCAAGTGTTGTGCTTACTATCATAGCTCTTTGTGTCGTGCAGCGCCCTGTCTCAGACTCAGCATGCTGCCTGCCGCCTTCACTCGGCCCGTGACGAAGTGCCTGATTGGCTCGCGCTTGGGGACCGTCGCGTTCCTGCTTCTGCTCGTTCTGACCGCCACTGAATCCTCTGCACACGGCACCACAGTCGAGCACGACCTCCACATCGTCCACAACGTTGATAACAGAAGTAAGTTTTTTTACTTTTCATTGTAACAAATTTATTAGTAGCCTATTCACATAGCAGCTTTGAGACTGACTGGATGGATGACAGATAGAGCAGAGCGCGATGTCAGTCAGTGGAGCAGCTTTCAGACGTTCATGGATTTGAAAAATATTAATAATAGGCTATATTTTTAATAATATAATATAATATAAATTCGCTAAGCATTAAAATGCTCTGTGTGATAAATAATTGTAATCACTGTCATAAAATATTAACATGTAGGCTACATTTTATACAATGTAAAATAAAATCTTAAGATTACCAGTAAATAAAATGGATTTGAAAAAAAAAAAAAAACAAAAAAAAAAATGCAGTGATACTAACAGCATTTTTTGTGTGCCTGTGTGTTCATTCTGGTTTCTTTCAAATTTCATTCTGGTATAATGTTAAAATGCCAACCTGTTTGAATTGCTTAAATCTGCGGTGGCTTTAAATATACTAATAAAAATAATGATTAATACAGAATGCTACCTCAAAAATGTTTACAAAAAATGTACTTTTGCTTACAAAATATTTTACTTTAAAATATACACTTTGACTCTAAACAATGTGGAAATAAATACAGTTTATAATCAGTTTATTTATGTACAGTGTTTTTTACAGCAAAATTATTCGTATAGTTATTTTAAATCAAACTTTTTGCTGCATATGGACGGTATCTTGCGAAATAAGTTTTTTATTGTAGTATTTTTTCCCTTTTTTAGTCAAATCACTGAACTGTTGCTATCTTAAAGAACAATTTGAACTTGATTTAACTCTTAATAATTAAAAGAAAATTCATTGGATTAACCTCAAGTTCAATTCAAGATGATTCAGTCAGATTAATTTATAGATTTGACCATGGCACATTTTTTAGGTTGCCAAAGGGGAAAAAAAATCAATATACTTAGAGGATTCTATACATAAATGCGAAATTTGGTGTTGCTTATTTGTTTTAATGCATTGCCACTGGGAACTAATGCAAACTATGCATTATTACATAAAACTGATCATAAAACATTGAATGTGTTTAAGATATTTCTGGTTATGTGAATATAACAGTGAATTTGGAATTAGACTCATTTTTGACAACAAATGGATTTGTTATATGCATGCATATGCCAAATATGCACTTTAATAGACATTTGTCTTAACCTGCCCCAATCAGGTCCAGAGATCGACCCGTTCTGGTATGTGGGCCGCGGTGTGAGACCCATTGGACGGTTTGGAAAGAGACAGAGCGGAGGTGATCTGCAGCCGGTGGTCAAATCTCTGGAGCTCCTGCTGAACACTCTCAGGAATAAAGAGAGCTTGCGGAGCGCGCTGGCACAAGAGGAGTCCGACTGGTTACCGTGAGACCTAGTACTGCAGCAACCTGTTGCCTGTGATATTCCAATGTGTTTTAGTGTGTATAACTAATCACAGTTTTATCATCATCTCCATGGCTGTGTGCCTCTCAATATTCATTTCAAATAAACTGACTGGCAGGTGAAAATATCTGTACATATTACATATGCAATCTATATTAATAAATAAATGTACAAATGTATGTATACGTTGGTTTTCCTCTCATTAGTAGATTACTGTAATGGATTATTATGCAAACTACTGCTCCACAATTCAATTAAAATATAATTTGCCAAAGAAAAACAAACATCTCAGAATCTCTTCAGGAATGCAAACTTTATTCATATTTATTTGCACACTGCTTGTGTCAGAACAAATTTGGCACATGAGAATTCATTGGCTTTTTTCTTTTCGCTACAGAATATTTTCTCCCCATTAACTCCTTATGGTTAAATTACACAGAGGACATTCTGATAAGAGGCAGGCTAATGCCCTTTCATTCATGACAAACCCAAAACACTCGAAATGCCTACGATATATTTTATATCTTGTCTTTTATACCTCATTTAAATGTAAATATGCATTCGATTTTTCAAATAGAAAAATACATGACACTGTAGGACATTTTCAATTTCTAGACTGTGCTTTTCATGGGATATTTGACATCTATTAGAAACGTGATGCATGCTTTTATACACTAACATCGCCATAGACAACAACAAGGAGCAGGACCCGTTTACTGAATAGCTCCTCTGTAGAGAGAATGAAATGGAGAAGACAAAGTTTGGGATGATGGTGCAAAATTGTATATTGCATGCTAGTTAATCTCCATTGGCTCAAAACATTCTGTGGAATATCTCAAGGCAACTAAAGATCAATCTTTCATGCTTCTGTGATTTCTCCGAGCTAAAAAGGGCCAATTTGTGTGACTGAACACACATCGCACAGACGTCATCTTAGTCACTCACTGAGACAATATGATGCGGCTGTAATTCGACATAAAGAGGTGGATATCCCTGCTTTATAAAACGCTCAAAAAGAATAACGACTCAGCCATTATCGTCAGATTTCTAATGTGAATCACCTTGCCATCACCAAGCAAATGTGATTTGTACTGTGGTACATATGTCCAGGCTAAATAATCTCTGAGAGAACGTTGTGATAATTCTGTGATCAAACACACTGGTGGTTTGGCTTATCATAACCGTTAAGTTGTAATACTGTGCCATTGCAGCATTTTCCCTAAATGTTATATTTACTATTGCTATGGATTATAAATTACAAACCAATCTGCACCACAGAAAAATGACAGAATGTTTTAGAAAGTCCAAAATGACATTTTAAGTATGTACATGATTTTCTAGGTGAGCAGTGTTCTGAGAATAACAACTGGGGTTTTCAGATTAATAAATGAACCCATAACCCTTCTCACGGAAATAGCAGTGATTTGACGTTCATATTAAAGAGATCAATAGATATCTGAGGTTGATTTAAACACAAGTATGAATACATGCAAACACACTCAAACTCATTATATGGCAAGGGGGTCGGGTGCTTTCAAATAGTACTTGACCCTTGTTTTTAGGAAAATAAAATAAAGATTAAATTATACATTTCACAGTTGTTTTAGATGCTGAATGCATTTTTTATACAGCACCTCAAATAAACAACTCCAAAAGTGACCATCGGAAAAAGAAACCTGAGATATTTGCACCAGATACGAACAGAACAGAAACGTGACAATGGAAATCAAACAGGTCCTGCAGATATTTTGTGTTTACTTTCACATAGACATTTCACACATTTAAAACTTTTACCAAATGTGCTCCAGCTTCTTTGCAAAACAATAATAAAATAAAGGTCACATTGGTCATCCCGAGAGGTCTTTTTCTAGTCACTTTGCCGACATACAGATTTCAAACATGTACAACACTCAGCAAACGTTAGAAAAAGAGGTGACGTCCCAGATTTTTAACATTTACAAATGTTCATTGTTACACATACAGTAAATACATGAGTTTAAATCTACAATTACAACCCTCTGTGATGGTTCATTGTAGGAGTTTGGTCTCCATTAAGGCAGAGAGAGAGAGAGAGAATCAGGTCCCCTGGTAACAGGAGGTGTTGAGCTCCAGGGTTTGGTAGAGTTCTTGGGGTCAGAAGTGATATCAACCTTACATAGGTTGAAGGACCAGAAGTTGGATCAAGGCACTGGTGTGGAACAGCCTGATGGTCCTAGCAGTCACAATCGGGTGTGGTGAGAGGTCACAGAGGTCACGTCCTCTTCTCATGGCCTCATAGATCTCACTTGCGGCTCAGATTTGACTTCCGTTTCTGTGTTGAAGAAATTCAAAACACCTCCTTAGAAAACAATTTTAAAATTGGAAATCCATTTTCATCATTTCCATTAATTTCCATCCGTTTCCATTTCCATTTTCAACACTTAGCTCTCTTTTTTTGCTCGAATTAAAATTTCATTCAGCCTGTTCTTTCATGAGCAATTTGATTCTACAAAGAACCTTCTCTTTGGCGAACTATAATAAATCCGAAAAAGATTTTTTACCTTAGTGACGTGAAATGGCAATTATTGCATTATTACTTTTGATAATTTTGCAATTGAGGGTAAATTTTAGCAAAATAATTGTTATTACCATTTTAACCATTATTGGTCTTACCAACTTGCAAGCACCTTTTTGGGTAACACTTAATTTGAAGGGGTCGGCATAAGACTGACATGACACTGTCATAAACATGACATAACACCTGTCTTAGTCTTTATGAATGTTTATGTCTGCTGTCATTAAGTGTCATTCGGTAAATTATGACACTTTTAATGCAAAGTTGACATTGTTTAATGTCTTTGTTATACAACTTGACATTAACAAGGACAAAAACATGTCTTTATGACAACTTGACATTAACCAAGACAAAAATTTCTTTGTTATGACAACTTGACAAGGTCAAGGTCATAACAGGTCTAATTATCAAACTTAAAGAAGTTATTTAGCTTTGTGTTAACATTACATTACCCTGTCATATGTTATGGTTGGTTTTAACTTTGGTTGTCATGACACCATTATAACTGTGACATGAATATTTTACTTGTCCTCAAGTAAAGTGGAACACATTGTACTAGTTATAAAGGTGTCGTTAAGGGTTATTACATTGTCAAATGCTTTAACAACTGTGTCATTAATATTTCCCCTTACCTCAAGTGAAGTGGAAAACGTTGGACTAGTTATGATTTCTTGGTTAATGCCAAGTTGTCATAACAAAGACATTTTAAACAAAGTCAACTTTGCCTTAAAAGTGTCAATAATTTACCGAATGACACTTAATGACAGCAGTCATAAACATTCATAAAGACTCCTTCATGTTTATGACAGGTGTTATGTCATGTTTATGACAGTGTCATGTCAGTCTTATGCACACCCCTTCAAATAAAGTGTTACCCTGAAACCTAAAGGAAATTGACAAATGGGACAACCTGTCTCGTACAGTGACCAGTAGTGCAGCCCAGTAGTGCACAACAGAAACAAGCCATTTCACGACGGAAACAAGCCACAACACAATGGTAAAAAGCCACAACACAGCGGAAACAAGCCATAACACAACAGTAAAAAGTAACAACACAACAGAAACAAGCGACAATGCAACAGAAATGCTCCCACCCCCTTTCTAGGCGGTATGTTAAAGCTAATGAATTTATACCAGAGGTAATGGTCTGACGAAATCCAAATTTTGGACATTTTACTGTAGTAAAATTACCCCTTTTTATACCGTAATTTATATAGCTATGATAAAACATAGCATGTGACACTGAAGATTGAAGTAATTGCTGCTGTAAGTTCTGTTTAGCCATCACAGGAACAAATTAAATTTTAAAATATATTGAAATAGAAAACATTTATTTTAACGTTGCTCTAAGCGATGTCACACGTTTTTTAGGCCCAAACATTTTTTTTTATCACATACAGCAAACATCTCCTCACTATCCGCTAGCTGCCTGTCCCCTAAACACACTGTAAAAAAGCGCGGTCTATGCAGACAACCCAGGCTCCACAAATGGCAACAAAAACAAACTGCGGCAACCCGCTCCACAAAACATAACAAACTGCTCCAGCCAATGACTGACAAGAAGACCCTGGGGGTGGGGTTTGGGGGGGGGGGTCAGTGCAGATGAGGAGGTGGGAGGGTCTATCTAGCCTCCGTTTTGTTTGAAAACACTTTAAAGAGCCCCTATCATGGATTTTTGAAAATGACTGTTCATATGGTGTGGAATATAGCTCTAAGGGAATGAAAACATCCTGCAAACATTTATATCTGAAAATGCACCGTATATAAAGTTATTGTCTTTCAAAAGTGAGAGTCGACTCTGAGTCTATGAAATGAATTGTTTTTGAAACGAGTCATTAGCTGGTTCATAGTGACGTAGGTACATATTGGCCACGCCCAGTTACTGTGCGCGCACGGGAAGTGTAAACTTGAAGTCTACACATTCAAATACTTCATCATAGCATCATGTCGAGAAGACGCTGTGTTCTACAATGCAAAGATAGTTCAGCCACTTTGTTTTCATTTACCAGGGACGAGCACGTGAAGAATCGGTGGTTAGAGTTTATATTTGCAACGATACCACAACAGTATAGCCCGATTGTGTTCTCATCATTTTAATTAATCGTTCAAAAACATAAATTAATTCAAATGTGGATTCGCAAGCGGTTGTTCCTGAAGGAGGGTTCAGTAACTTACTTACCCAGTGTATATGGATCAGCTTCCCCCTATGAATCACAACCTGTAACTATTATTAATAATTGTTGCTTTTATGGGTTTTGAACGGTTTTGTAGCGTCGGGGTGTGAGGAGGGAAGGCGCAATAAGTATGTGTGTGCGTGCGTGCATGTGTGCGTGTGTGTGTAAGTTACGCTCAGCGCAGCTTCTAGGTCTCCAATGTCAATTTTTTTTAAATATGTGAAATGTTTGTCGCTGTTATTGGAGTTGTCATAAAGAATAGAGCGTCTTGTAGTACTGCAGTGCTTTATCAATATGTTTATGCATTATGCTAACAAACAATAACTGACTGGGTCTGTCATCTAACCAATCATCGGAAAAATGAGTCGTCGTACGAATCATTTGGGAGTCGGTGAGCAAATCAGTTAAACATAAATGCATATTATAAGACAAATAAAGTGTGTTTTATCCTTGCATGCATGTTAAACTGTTTTTGGGAACTCCTAAAACAAAAATTGGAACATTTCAAATGCTATGATAGGGGCTCTTTAAATGTCAACAAGAAGTCACGTCACCCGACATCGCTTAAAGCACCTTTAAATTGTAATAATATTTCGCAATATTACTGTTTTTTTGTCAAATAAATGCATGCTTGGGGACCAAGAGACTTCTTTCAAACATTTTAAAAAAGATTCTTTCCCCAAACATTTGCATGGTGAGCAACAACTACAATTTAATATTACAAATATGCATGTTAAAATTAAAAAACGAATTAACATGAAAAATATATTATTACCTTAAGACCTTTTAAATGATGAGACCAAAGTAAAATGCATTTATTCAGATGTTTTTTTATGGGCCATATTAAAGAAAAAAAGACTTATTACAAAATGTAATTATTGTAACTGCTTACTATTATTTGAAAGAAGAAAAAATATATGCTGGTCCACCAAATCAAAGTCATGTGGTGAAGAAAAGAAATCTTAAACAGCAAATGGACCCTCATGACTGTGTCAATGTCAATAATTCTCGCAAAATATCAGATAATATCACCTTTTTATGACAAGGCAAGGTGAGTACAGGTTGTAAAATCTAACTTGGTGCGGTGACTCCTTTATAATTTTACAAATTAAAGGGCAGCCTGCACGTTCTGCAAAACATCATCTTTTGTGTTGCACACAAGAAAGTCATACTGGTTTTAAATGACGTGGATGAGTTAACAACATAATGTTCTTTTTTTTTTTTTTTTTTTTTTTTACTTTAATCTCAACATACAACACACTGTCCAGGCTTTGTACAAGCTGTTACCGTCTCCTATTGGTAGATTTGTGTGACTAACAGCTGAACTGGAAAAGTAAGCTTGTCCTTTGAAGTTGCAGCTAATGTGAAATAAAGAAATCAAGATGAATCATGGTCATATCAATGGGCAGCGCTAAACAGAAACCCTGATAATTAGTAGGAAGATTAAGCAGAAAAAGACAAGAACGGAAAAAAAAAGATAACACTGCTGGCCGACTGTCTGTTTCTTCTCTAATGGACCCTCTTTTCTTCTCCCAGTGTCTCCACATGGTGCATTAAGTTTTGCACCTTTTCACTGGTTACTCATTCCACCTTTCTTTTCAAATCAGAATGTGTAATGTCACTAGGTGTGAATATAGATTTTTTTTCCCCCTTCCTCAACGTCAGTGGAAGAAAAAGCTGCTCTTTTTTTCTGAAGCACGTGAAATTGTTGCCTGTGGGATTTTAGCAGGTTCATGATGTGATCACACTCACTGTACACATATAATGCATTTAAAAGACATGTAGGATTTAAGCATTGTTGTGTTTCTGAAAATTCAATTGATTCATGGAGAGTATTACATGTCACATTAAAAAAAAGACTGAGAAGAATAATTGAAATTTTTTAAGACCATGATTCCTTAATCAGAGTTAAGAGTTATTAGAATTGAACATGCTAAATAATGTCAGTTACTATTAATGGTCTAATATATGTGTTAAATTTGATGAAGTTAGCATTATTAATTCTGTTACTTTCCTGTTTAATGTTGTGAAGCTAATTTAAAACAATATCAATTGTATTAAGCACTATAAAAATAGAGGTGAATTAAATATAGTCCTTGAAAATGATTAGTAAGAGATGACTCTAAACAGAATATAATGTCTGTTATTCATAAAATTCATAAGGCCCTTATCAACTTTTGTATATTTTTTTCTTTTATTTTATTACCGATTAAGACTTTTTATGAACTGGTTTGACCCATTCATTGACCAGAACTGACTTGCACAGAACAATTCACTGACAAAACGAAAAGTCATAATGGCTTGAAAGCAGATTTTGCTCTAAACACACTTGACTAGATGTGCAATATCAACCTGATTAAATATTAGAGCAGATTTAAAGCTGAACACAACTAGAAAAACATATTTTACCTTTTTGTTTACCTTTTTTGTTACATTCAATCACTATTAAATGAGTTCATTTAGTTCCTTTAAAATGCAAATTTTAAATTCCCTGGTTTTCAGTGTGGAACCTTGTTTATATTCTTATAAATTCTTATATAAAACTGTAGGTCTCCAGTCAAAACATTTGTCAAGAAAGTTCCATAGAATTTCCTTCAAAATCGTGAGGAAATGGGAAAAGAGTAATAGATTATAAATAGATAGAGGTAAACGAAGGTTAAAGAAATTGTGTCCCTTCCGACATTAGCTGAAATGTCACTTAATTCAAACATGGCAGGTCAAGATGTGTTGCATCTGGAATAGAAATGTGAGAACCACTGATGGATCCCATAATAAACAAGACACCTGGCACAACATGTTTTGTGTTATTTTTAAACTGAATACAGTTTTTAGTGGTCTGGTTCTTACCCAAATCATGAATTTTAATGCATAGTCCACTTTTATTGTGCTTTTCCGCCTATTTCGTTATTAAAATTAGAATATGTCCCCTATGGACATTCTGCACTATGTTTTTAGTTGTGCTCCAAGGAAGATAGTAAATCTTACAGGTTTAAAATGACTCAAAACATGAGGGTGAGATCCCTTTTGAGTCAATGAACCCTTTCAAAGTGTAGTATATGTGTGTTCATACCTGATGACAGACTTCTGAGAGGAGGAGCAGGAAGCTTTCTCCTCTGATGACGAGAAGAGTCCAGCGTCTGGGACTGATGTGGGAAAAACATTGTGTCAAACCATTAATAAGTCTTACATCATGAAGCAAAACCATTTTAATTGTACATGTATCCTACTTGTTTGTCAAGTTTAATCTCAAGTAATATTAAGGTGCATATGAAACTCACCATGGGTTTAGATTTGTTCTTGGAAAACCGTGTGCATGGAGTTACATTCAGACCTGCAGTTTTGAGGGCTGATATTCTTGCCTCAATATCTGAGATCTGCAGATAACAGACAAACTTCTAAATTTACACTCGAAGAGTCTGAGTACTATAGATAGCACATAGCGAGGGTTCACCTGGAGCTCGGACTGCTGCACCTGGGCGGCAGCGGTGGCCACCTGGTCTTCCAGGAAGGCCAGCTCAGTCTCTGTGGTGGAGCTGCTGATGTCGCGTGCACAGTCTTCTAAGTCACTCAGCGCCCCCTCTAGGCTGTACACAGCACCTGCAGCCAAATACACCTGCACACAGATCACAGGATCACAGAAATTATTAGTATTTCACAGATTAATGTGAGAGGTGAATGACGTCATTTGAATCATAAGGATTCTATCTGTTAGTCCCTGGTTCTTTAAGGGGGGAATTTAGTGGGGTCAATGGACTAGAGGGAGTGAGAGCGGTAAGCGGAAAGTGAGAGCAGTTTAACAACAGAGACAGCAGTCGACTTTATATTTCTTTTCTTGATATTGTACGGCGTGGGTTACGTCCAAAACAGTAACCCTGCAATTATTGAATAAAACCTTAAAAGGAGGAAGAATTCGTCCATTTACTTTTAGTAGCAACGCTACAATATGTTGCTGCTGCTGCATAAATAGTCATGCATACATCCCATAGCAAATTTAGGAAGGGGGAGGTGGAGGGTTTTAGAGGAACTCTGATGCGCTGCAGGACTGTGACTACAGCGAACCCTGAACCACCAGACTATTTAAATGTTTAGCAAGATATTGAATTGGCTACAGAAACAACAGAGGCCAGTTAGCTTGTGCCAAATCAAGCTTTTAACGTTGTTTAGGGGAGAGCGGGGCACAACCTAACGCATTTTGGTTTTGGCTCAATTAATTAAAAAATAATAAGGTTAAATAAATATTTTTTTACACAAGCAACATACACATCTCTGCTACAAATGAACACTTCAAGTTTTTTTCTAGGACCTACCATTTTCGTACAGTTGGACTGAAAGTGACAGAAGTGCAAATGTTACAACTTACCCCATATGCGGGGTTAATTGTAACAGACAGAGGGGTTAGTTGTAACACTTGTGTGTAACACACATAATTCAGGACTATTTTATTTGAATAGTTTGATATTGTTTGTGCATCTGTATAGACAGATATCCATACATCCATCCCTCATCCAATCATCCTTCTATTGTGGATCAATATCATTGATAGAGACATAGAAAAGGGCTGCAGTTTTGCAATAAATAATAATAAATAAAATGATAAAATATTGAAATTGCAATTAAATTAGATTTGTGTGTGGCAGCTGCATGTACAATTATTATTATTAATAATACTAACAGTTATAATAATACAAATGAGCTTAGAATAAAAATTTAAAGGGTTTATCGCATTAAAAACATGCCATATTTTTAACAAATAAACAAGTTATCATTCATAGTACACTAAATTTTACATTTTAAATTTAATTTTAAATTCCAACATTGTTTGTGAAAGTCCAACAAAGTTAAATGTATACTCAACCCTTAAAAGTTGCGTGGCTCCGTTTCCATTTGATTATCATTGTACACTTGGCGTCTTAGTTGAAACACTGTGTTAGAATTAACCCCGCAGTGTATTACATATTTTAAACCTAGCTAACAGTCGCTAGGAATTGCTGACATGTTTCAAAACGATGCTATGTTTGAGCCAACAAGACAGTGATTAAGGCAATATAAAGTTAGATTTGGAAACGTATACACCCAACTCAGAAACAGAAAAACAAAAAATTTACTTTTATGGTGTCAAAACACTCTTTGTCCAGTATCTTCACGAAATATAATCAAAACTTTCCGCAAATTCGCGGGAGACCGTCTTCTGGCAGCGAGAGAAAAAGAGCGGAAAGACAGCCGGCTTGATCCTGACGAACTATGTAAAACGTCCGTGTTACATTTAACCACGCGTTAGGTTGCGCTCCCCTATATGTTTATGTGGTGTTTTAAATATGCTTGTTTAAGACAAACCATGTGAAAATTCACAAGTCAAGTCAATTCCTGAGTATTTTCTTCTTAAAACTGCAGTGAACCACAGACACGGTTTGAAATCGCAAGGGTTTCTGATTTCACAAACTACCTTGTGATCATCAATGAGGGGAGGCTTGTTTGACTTCATGCAGCTCTGCGCAGACCGATCGGTGGCTGACTTGAAACAGTGCATGCAGGTTAGAAATTCTGTACGACTTTATGCAGTGCTGACTCCAAATGACTGTGACGTATGCGAACAAAGTACCGCGAGAGCGATTCGAGAGTAGCCAGAGGACTCAGCCAGCACAGCTTCCCAAGAGCGGCTGCACAAGCTCTGATGATGACACAAACTGTTCCACGATTGGCCGATCACCCAGTGATGTTATATTGAGTCATGTTTATCAGAATAAAACTGATTAAAAAACGTTGACGTTGAATGAAAATGTCTCTGAAATATCTGTGTATTTGGCAAATATTGCATTTATTTCACTTCAGCTGTGAGGTGAAGTATACAGTTTCTGCGACACTAATGGAATTACAAAAAATAAATTATATTTATTTTTCCAGGCATCCCCAACTCAAACATCACAAACACAACTCTCGAGGGTGTGTTTCAGCTGTGTTGCTACAAATCGCGAGTAAGCAATTAAGTTGGATAACACTAACAAGAGCGAGTATCTTGTTCAACCCAACCCAATGGACAGGTATCATAACCGTATTTCATGTTCCACAAAACTGGGAACTCGAATCACCTTTTTCTTTTCTTTTTTCGAAAAACGTTGACTAGCTGTCTTCCCAGTCTTGTTCTCTCTTCTTTTCATGCTTTTTTCACTCTTTTGGGATCCTGATTTTGCCTGGGCCATTTTTGCCATCTACTTGATGCAAGAAGAGTCAGAACTGTAAAGTGTCCTGACGTTTTTTCTGAATAATCCACAAACCTCTTAAGGGGACACACACATGCTTGGCACATGCTATAATGAATGTCTATAGTTTAAAAGATTATTTCACGAAGAGGTAATTTAAATACCAAAATCATACAAGAAATGATGGGGTTCTGCTGGGCCCCTGTGTGACCAGGGTCCTTAGAATTGTCCTCTTGTTGTTGTTTTTTTAAAGAGGAGAAATCCTCTTTAAGAAGATCAGTGTATTTAGACAAACCAATTAAACCATTAGAAGATTTTCGTGTAATAAATCTTACATTTTCCTCCATCTTAGTGAGGTGCTGGTCCAGTTTCCTAGTTCCCGGGCCCGAGGACATGGGTGTGCCAGCCGGAGAAGGGTCATGAACTTTGCCTTCTGCCTCTCCGAGCAATTCCTCTGTAGCATTTAGGACCTTTAGAACCTCTGTGGTGATGCTGCATAAAGATGCGGCGGAGTACTTCTGCTCCATAAACATGAGAGTGAGCAGAAAACAGAGGAGAAAAACACTGATAAACAGATGCAAAACAGAAGCAATTCAAATGCATCAGGTTCTCTTGAAATTTTCCATAAAACCTTTTATTTATAAAATAATAAAGAAAAAACATTAAAAGATTCAACTGTTGTGTGGATTACAACTTCCATAGCTACCCAAGATCTCACTCCCAATTAAGCATGGATTCATTGCTTGTCAAGCTGTTCAATCAATGAACAGGATAAGAGGATTATGGGAGAGGAGGAGTGTGACATGAACATACATGGATGAGAGATGCTCTTACAGAGGTGAAAGGTCATCATTGAGGGTGTATCAAAAGTAACACACACTAATCAACAAACACACTTGAAAAATAAAGCAATTATTCATTCAAAAATGAATATTCTGTCATCATTAAATCACCCTCATGTTGTTCAAATCCACTAGCCTGACTACGTCAGACTTCCTACTTCTGCTAATTTCATTTCGCTCCTGTAGTCAGTCTGAGATAGCGGCCTATCTTTCAGTTTTCCACCGGCCTGAAAACAGCCGGCCAATCAACGGACAGAGGGCGGGCTGAGAGCCGTGACGTAGACACTAAGCGCCGAGTGTACATTGTAGGTTAGAGAAATCGAAAACCGAAACAACCGCAGAAATGGGAAACAAGACACGGGATGCAATTCGCTCTGTTATGGAGAACATTCCGGGGTTTTTCAAACTGAAGCAAAGGTCGTTTACAGCCATGTTCACTCCGGTATTTCGCTCGCATCATCAGTGTTTACAGCTAGGACCGGCGCGTGCACAAAAATATTAACACTTCAAGCTTAGGCATTTAGGCTACCCAATTTTTTCAGGCTAATAATTGTAGTAATGATGGATCAGACCTGTTTGGCCATAACTATATGCATAACTAAGGACATAACTTACATTATGTTACATTATCTTTTACGGCCATGACAAAAAAGTCGGTCTCCTCGGCTGTGAACGCTCCTGGTGCGCTCTTATTATCATATTATTATTATCATAATAATAATCCACCATATTTCGTTTCGACATCCTGCTGCATTAGTCCCAGATATGTGATTCATGAACGATCTGTTCATTGCGTATGTCACGTGACAAATGAACTTAAGACTCGGAAGGTAAAGTGATTATTTATGTTCCCTGTAAATCATTTTTTACTGCATTATGATTTCTTAATTCAGAATATGATCAACATTGCGTAGGTGGATGTGATCGGGGAATTTGGCTGGTAAAATTATAACATTAAGCCACTTAAATAAACGAAATGACTCGAATGACTCAGAAAATCAGTAAAATGAACTCCCTATTCATGACTCGCGAGAGCAGCGGCTCGTCCTCGCGGCGCTGCGGAAGCTAAATCAGTCATGTCTCGTGAGAGCGGGGCAGTGGGCACACCAACGTTGCGGGGCGCAACTCAGTAATTCATATAAATAACCTAGTTTGTGAATTGTTCATTCCCACAGTTGGCACACATTTTGCAGCCCTTACAAAAGCGCCGCTCCCTGTTTACAGTGGAAGTTCGATCATAGACTTGAGTTCGATGCATAATGTCTCGATGCGGCCGTGTCGGCGCATAACATACGTCATAAATAAACTTATCTGATTGGCTTACGGGTAACCAATGATTTTAAACTTCAGAGAATCATATCCACAAGTTTCCTACGCCCCATGAGGCCTTGCGTCAAAAGTGGGCGCGACTTCCGGTTGGAAGTAAACAAAGCGCGATTTGACATGCTAGACACTCGTTCATTCAACAGTTGACAGTCATTCAAGTTATAGCGATCCAAACTAGCTAACGATGTGGAAACACAACCTCAACCAAATTCAAAAGGGTGAAATAACAGCACCTTTACCCTCCGCAGTAGTTGATTGGGAGTATTATAATAACATTATTAATAATCAATACTCATCAAGGCATGGTGACAGACAGTTGTGCGAGCTGACAAACAATTAAAATAAAAAATACACACTTAGTCATTGTGCTTTGGAGTTTATTCAAAATTATAAATGAATGTGCTGCTTGAATACATTAACTGGCGCATTTGGTATTCTGTCAACACAGGCTTTGATCCTGAGTTTAGGTGTAACATCAGTAGCGAACAGCCAATCACATGCTGATAGAGTTTATAGAATATTAAGAATTTAAACAAATGTACACAGGAAGATTCGTCGTCTTTTGGGAGGTGATGGAAACTACAGTCGTTGGCAGGATCACTCTGATTTCGTTTTCAGCTTATGTTCAAAACAATCACGTTTAAGCCACTAAATTAGTTTAGTCCGGCTATACATACAACCGCGAACAGCACATGTCCCTGAGCTCCGTAACGGCATCTCTCATAAAGATTTGCGCCTTTAAATAGTAAAATAATTCTCCGAAAAACAGCTAGCCTCTTCGCTAACTAACACACAAAATACCATTGGAATGCTACTTCCGCCGCGCCACCGGAAGTTTCACCCACTTTATTTTTTACAGGAGCGCCCCTCGGAAACTTGTGGATAGAACGCTATATGACAAAACGGCGCTATAGTACGCACATGGCACCCGTTATCGTTAATATAACACGCGCTGTGATGGTTAGGTTTAGGTGTGGGGTAGGGTAGGGTAGGGTAGTCTCATATTACGCGAAAGGATTTATGACGCCTTGGGTTCGCGTGAATATTAACGATAAAGGGTGCCATGTGCGTAGTATAGCGCCGTTTTGTCATATAGCATTCTATGTGACGCTAAAGGATGAGAACGGGCTGGCTATATCTGTAAGAGATACAAGGTCAAAACACAAATGTGCCTGAGAACGTTACATGTAAACTCTCATATGTACTGTACATCAGAATGCACGTCATCGCAAGACAAGGAAAGGACAGGGATGAGAAGTACATTAGTTCTTGTCAATACGTTTTTCATCTCGAGTGCATCATCTCGAGTACTAACCATCAATATGAGATGTACATGTTGACGCATGCGTGGATGTGTTTCTAAGTAAGACAGTAAGCACACTTGAGAGAAAGTAATTGAGATAAAATGACTTTTCGAGATGAGAAAGTGAGAATGAAAGAGATGGGAAGAAAGAGAGGAGCAGTGGGATTCAGTAATGAATACCTGAAGAATCAATTAATGGTTGGGTTGGTGTATGCTTTGATCACAGAAATAATTGATCCAAACTCAGTCCTCAGGGCATGTGTGGCTCTGAAAGGGGCTGTGTGTGTGTGTGTTTGTGTAAAAACGGACATCTAAAGTGAGTGAATATGTAGAAAACAGGTAGGCGTGCAGCACAGCATAAATCTAACACCCAATGAAAAGTACTCAAGAACCACACTCACACTGTAATAAAATATGAACATAAATATTAAAATAAAAATAAAAACGGTATATTTCTAATATGTTAATGATTGCCCAAAAGATAACAAAACGGTTGTAGGCACTGCCTAGGGATAGTTCACTTTGAAATTCATTTTTGATATGTTTTAGCTTACCTCAAGGGCATCCAAGATGTGGGTGTCTTTGTTTCCGAAATATATCGAAATCGATCTAAATATGTTTAGTGAAAGGTAAAACTTCTGAAATCTCTGTCTAAACAAAGTGTGACGTAAACGCGCGAGAGATCACTTCCGGCGTAACGTCTTGAGACGGTTCAGTTCAAACCCAGTTGGACATCTGATTCAGATCAGTTCGACGGCTGTTAACAAGAGGTAAAAACGATATAAATACTGTTCGTTTTCTCGCACAAACCGCTCGTTTCGTGTCTTAGGCCATCAGTGTGTACCTACATTTACGAGTCATTAAATCATGTTTCATTTTGACTTCTCTGTGCTCTTTGAGGTGGACCAAGGGAGGACGCCCTTAACCTCCAGTGTATGACTGACAGACAACAACGGTTTGACCAAAAAATGTCAAAATTGAAAATGCTGTGGAAACAAAGAGGTAAGCTAAAACATATCAACAATTAAATTCAAAGTGAACTATCCCTTTAATAGGGGAAAGTGCTCTTAGTAGGGTCATTTCTATAGCAATGAAGGCACAAAACTCATGTTCTTTAGACATGTTAGACAACTATGTCTCTATTTTATATAAACTATTATTAACACTAAATGTACAACATGAAAATTGTTTAAAATTATTATTTCTGTTAAGGTTTTTGGCCTGTATCTAGTTTGTCACAACCTCTTTTGTATCCAATGATATAATTTTAATTTGTTTTAATATTATTACTAATTTTCAAGTTACATTCGGATGTGTCCCACATTTTTAAGCAATCTTGTTAAAACATTATATTTATCCATCATTTTAATAAAAAAATAGTAAGGAAATATTTTTAATATTTTCATACAATTCTATTTTTTCATCTGCAGTTTTATATATTCTTCATATTTTAACCCTACTATTTATAAGAAAAATTAACTAAATATAATACAATTAAAATATAAAACGTTTCTCTGTGCAAACCATCATGTCATCCCACCCTTGCTGAGTACTAGCTCATTTAGATTAAATTGCAATCCTGTTACTAAATTCTGACATTTTATTAGAAATTTTTGCCTATTATTAAATTAATATGTTTATTTAAATATCCTGTATATTTGTTTATTGCTGGAAAATTAGACAATTAGGGGTGGTGTTGGCGCAGTGGATAAGACACCATGCCTTTGGTGTGAGAGACCACTGTGAGACACCAATGTGTCCCTGAGAAAGACACTTAACCCCTAGTTGCTCCAAAGGCGTGCGACCTCTGTCATATATAGCAACTGTAAGTTGCTTTGGAAAAAAGCGTCAGCTAAATGAATAAATGTAAAATCATATAAAGCACAATTCTAAACTGTATTCGGAAATAATTAAGTAACATGATTGCAAATAAATATTATACACTACCATCAAAGGTTGAGGGTAAAAAGTATATTCAAGAAATTAATACTTTTTTATTCAGCAATGATTTAAATTGATCAACAGTGACAGTGAAACATTTGATAATATTGCAAAATATTTTTATTTCAAATAAATGCTGTTCATTTGAACTTTCTATTCCTCAAAGAATCCTAGAAAAAAAATCAATAATCATGTGCCATCACAGGAATGATTTAGAATTATATATTAACTATATATTAAAAAACTATATCTTTTCTAAATAATACAAATCTCTCAATATTGCTTTTTTACTGTCTTTTTGGTCAAATAAATGCAGCCATTGAGCCTTAGAGATTTAATTCAAAAACTTTTAAAATAACCTTACTGGGCTATGGGCCCTAATTTTTGAACAGTGTACGTACGCTAATAAAAAGATGTTCGATATTTTTGCCCTAGTTTTGAACTATGGGTAGCGCCAAAACACATTTTCAACAGACTGAAGCAGCTCAGAGCAGCTCAGGACCGAGCAGCTGAAGGGTTATTATTGCACACCATCATGTGCTCTCAGTATCACCACCAGTACTGAGATAAAAAGAGAAGTCTAAAGATTTCCCCCACTGTGTATCTGGCTCTTACATACTCTGTTGTTTCCTCAGCAGGTTCCGAGACAGGGAATAATGGACTACACATTTGATTCAGGAGGAATCTCTAGCTCTACTTCATCTTCTCATTATGATATATCTCACCTGCTGTAAGAGAGAGGAGATTAACTGAAGCCTCTGCTGTAGGGCACGATCACTCAGACCCTCCTGAACCAACAAGAAAGCGTGGAGAAAGAGAGACACAGAGACACACACAACAAGAGAGAGAGAGAGAGAGAGAGAGAGAGAGAGAGAGAGAGAGAGAGAGAGAGAGAGAGAGAGAGAGAGAGAGAGAGAGAGAGAGAGAGAGAGAGAGAGAGACAGACAGAGAAGACAAATGAGAAAAAAAAAAAAGACAGGGACAGAAATAAATGGTAATGGCAAGAAAGATAAAAGAGGTGAAAGACACAAAACAGTAAAAAAGTGATGGTTCACTCCAAAATGAAAATCCTTTCATCATTTATTCAATCTCATGCCATTCCAAACCTGTATGACTTTTTCTTTTTTTGCAAAATACATTAAAGCTGCAGTAGGGAGTTTTTCCTCTTTGTCGCCATCTCTGTTTGAAATCTGCAATTGCAGTCATTTGCGGAATTATCAACTTAAACGTGAGTTGTAGTTCAATGCCCTCAACACGGTACAGCGTGCGGATGAAAACAGTGTTTGAGGAGACTGAGGCTGTCAGTCACAGCGTCGGTGTGGAGACTGTCATTCAGAATCACAGATTATTCTTTTTGGAAGTATGACCAAAATAAGAATTTTCACTGGAAAATGTCACCTGAACTAGTAAGAAACATCAACTTTTGTTCTGGTTCTGAGATTAAATCGTGCAGATTAAATCTAATAATCACTTAGAAGTTATCATATCACGCAAAACCGTGCAAATTATACTTTCTTCTCAAATTGTTAATGTTAACAACGTCAGCATTGTGTGACTACATGTAATGTCCTTCCAATATGTGTCCTTGTTTTCACATGAGTCCGGTTGCAGTCTCTTTCTCTCTGTAGCCACTCCGAAGTCCAAACGAAGTCTTTTGAATTTTACAACGGGTGAATCTCTAGTTGTCACTGGTGATTGTCGCTTGAACCTTTCAGGATCCGCCATCAAATTGAAAAGTTTAATTATATCATGTGCTGTGAGAAAAGGCTATAAGTCTCCACCTCCAGCATCCTCAAAGGCAATATAGCCTACTAGCCGTGACTCCTTTATGTGTACAGATGTGACGTAATGATGCAAAGACATGCTCGAATCTCCCGCGGATATCCACCAATACCACTGGAATTAAAAACATTATTACAAGCTTACTGCTTTGAATCGAGCTAAGGCAAGTAGATAGTTTTGAACACTGGCTGGTTATGTATTTTATCAAGTATGTATTTTGCATAATTTTTAACCCCAAAAAAGGTACGGACTGCAGCTTTAAGAAGGAATTTCAAAAGGATGCAAATGCACCATAAAAAAAGTTATTAACGTTGTCAATGTGACTGTGTTGTCAATGTGCGCTATTCAAAGTCATATAGGCTAATCGTCCTCTTTGGTAAGCTGGATCATTCAATCAGTGGGTTAAACTCAAGATCACATTAGTCAGATGTGTGAACTAATCATTCAGACTGGTTTTGTGAACAAAAATCCGACATTGTTACTTCTCGTGAACTCACCAAGGAGAGGAAGAGCAGTTCCCTTTCAAGTGGAACTCAACAGCGAATCATGGTTTGACACTATGGGAAAACTTCAAGTGAGCCAGTGTCTGAAGCACGTGTTTACACACGCCAGTCCACGATTGGTTAAGCATTATTACATTTAGCGATGCTAGTGGGACGCTATAGAGCGACGCTATAGTGCGTCCCACATGTATGAACTAGGGGTGGCACGGTACATGAAAAAACACCCGAACCGTACGGTTCGCTTGTCTCGGTTCGGAGCGTCTGTGCGTCTCACGGTTCGACGCATGCGCAATGTAGCCTCGTGCCCGTATGTGACGTGTGTTTTCTTTTCGCGCGACATAAGCTTGTTCGACTTGGACCGGCGCTGCACAGAGCGACCGGTGAATAACATCACACTAGAGCGGGAACGACGGCTCCGTCACTCACTTTCGCGGTATTTGATGTCATTACCGATCGCTCTGTGCAGCGCCGGTTCAAGTTAGTAAACAAGCCAGTAAAAGTGGAGTATGGAGCGCTGCAGGTCACGGCACGCAGAGAAATGGCAAGTGGGAGAGATGAGGGAGTTGGAGGATGCGCCAGCGTCCTATAAGTCTATAAGTCCGGTGTGTGGGGACATTTTTGATTTCATGTTATGATATTTTAATATAACGTTACAGTGGCACTTTATGTTTAGATAAGAGCTTCAGTCAAATGTTTCCAAATCCTGCACTTTAATTTAAACTGAAAAAAAGGTACCCTCACTTTTTGGGAATAGAAGCATTGTTGATACTGTTTTTTGTGTTGAGGTTGAACTTTTCACTTTATGTTTATGGCCTTTGCTATTTCTATAGCCTAATTATAGGCAATGAGGTTTCATGTATATTGACTTATTCATAAAAGACAGTGTAGTTCCTCTTTTTTTCTTTTAAAAGATAGAATTTTTGTAAGAGCTACAAAAGTTGGCAGTTGATAAATGCAAGTTAATTTCTTTGTGTAAATAAGATTTTTGTGATAAAAATGCACAAGTTCTTGTAGAGATAGTGATACACATTCTCCTTTTTTTTGCCAAATAAACGAAAAGCATGTCAATTTCTTCTCTCTTGCTGTGTCAAAATCTCACCTAGCTTTCCTCTGAGATAGTCCCAAAATGTGCTTAAAGTCAAAGAGTCAAATTCAGTTTGTGCATGATTGCATGAATATAATTTTTTTTTATACTGTATCCTAAAGTGTGGATAATTAAGCTATATATCACATGATGAAGTACATTTCTGAAGTGTTAAAGATTAAAAGAAAAAAATAACAAGAACCGTACAGAACTGAAAACCGTGACACTAAAACCGTGATGCAAACCGAACCGTCGGTTTCGTGAACCGTGCCACCCCTAGTATGAACGCATGTTTTCTCCTCTGTGTGTGTGTTTGGCAAAGATAGGATTTAGATTCCACTATGTCAGAAAATAAGTAAGATACAATGATGACTTACACAACGTTGTGTGAACTGGGTGAGGAGCAGTGAGGTCAATCCTCGAAGGCGCTGACTGCGCTTTTACATCAAGTATAATCTCAGCTTGCTCCAATCCCAGTTGGCTCTATTTGATGAGAGCCAAGCATCCAGGGGCTTGGGTCCCGCGGCCGGTCATGGGGCTCGCAGGTAGAGTTGACGGACAAGGAGTGCCGAGACGGGAAATCTTTCTTTCATTCTCTCCAAGGATGACCCCATTCTGTGTCTTAAAGCTAGCAAGTTGTCTGTGTTTGATTCTTTGATTCTGTGTTTGATTCGTTTGAGAAGTTGGATGCAGACAGTTAGTTGGGTGCATCAAAAGAGCAGTCCTCTCAGTTGCTCAAGGAGCTGTTCAAAGTTGTGACTCATGCTGTGGCCAAGTTAAAATTTGAGTCGCCTGATGAAAAGAAAGTTCCCACGGTCTAAACTCTATGACCACTACCTAACATCTGGCAGAGAGCAATCTCAGCCCTGGAAGCAGTTAAAGAGGCCACAAATCTAGGCCCGTGTTCTGTGACTGGAAAGCACACTCAGGCTCAGTTGTCCCGGGGGAGACAGGATCTCAGATCTGTTGTCAAATCCAATTCAAGTATGGTTCTTGGACCTGATATATCTGCTAGACAACATTCCATGGGAGATTCCAGTTCAGAGAGATCTTCTGCGCAGGGGACGATCTACCACCCAAAGCGATCTGGAAACCTTGGGTCTGGGCCCCGAGAGGTACCAGCTCATAGATTCTGGTCTCTAATTTGAGATTGTTGAAACAATTCTAATTCTATAGCACCTTCCACTAGGAAGCTGTATGACCTGAAATGAAAATGACTATTCGTATCATGGTGCGAGCAGTGCAACCTGAACTCATCATTGGTCGTGGAAGTATTAGCAGAAGCACCATTTAAGCCATTGAAAATCCTGACTCTTAAAGTGGCACACTTGTTAGCACAACACTAAAAAGTTAGAGATTTGCAGGCCAAGTCAGCAGACTTTTCCTGCCTAGATCTCGCTCCAGCTGGTGTCAAAGCTACACTGCACCCCAGACCGGACTATACTCCAAATGTTCTTTTTATGGCTGGCCAATCTGTGGTCTTGCTTTACTTCCTTTCTTTCCTGAGATGCAAGAGCAAGACGGTCCTCCAAGCTAGTGGTCTGCTTCACAATCTCTCTTTCCTAAGAGGTGCACGGAATGGCTTCACATCTAGGAGTTAGGTCCAACTCCACGAAGAGTGTTGCATCTACTAAACCTCTTGCTAGGTCAAGTCAACTTTATTTATATAACATTTTTTTATAATACAGATTGTATCAAAGCAGCTTCACAGTGATAACATGAAAATAATACAGCTAGGGGTACATCCTTGTAAGATATTTGTGCTGCAGCTGGATGATCCTTCCTGCATACATTCGTCAGGTTTTATAGTCTTGATGCATTTTCAACCCCAGGGTCACAAGTCCTTCAGGGTTGATCCAGTCTGAGCCTGCCCTCACAACTGTCTGTGCAGAAACACATCCTTGTTGGCAGTCTCGTGGCATAGCGACGTTGGCATTAAAGTTCCCAAAGCGTCAAGCCATAATGCGACTGAGTTCCACTCGAAAGGGAAAGTCCCAGGCAGTGGGGATTTCTTTAAGACTGCAAGGGAAGCTTGTCTTCCCCTTAAAATGTCAAATAATGAATCTTCAATATGTACTATTGTGTTTATATTTTATTGACTAAAAATTAGAACACATTCATCTTGAAGACGAGTTTGTTCAGAATCGGCTACATATTGCAGGTCAGCCGATACGATTTCATTCCCGTAGTATCACAGTGCATTTTCCTGTTGAAGCCAAGCGTCCATTGACTTCAATGGGGCTGCTTTGAACAGTTTTTTTTCAGTGCTTCGGAACTAGATGGTCATTGGATAAATGCTGCGATTATGTCCCATCCAAAGACGCTCAGCGTCTCTGGGGGTGAATGGAGAAGTGGGCTGGCCTGGACTCAATAAATGGTACATTTATTTGTGTGTATCTGTTCTGCATAACTAAGAAAG